CCAACTTATAATTGATTTAGTTTGCTATAAAATATCTTTCTATTAAAATTAGTTTGTGAATCACCCTGCACAATTATTCTTTCATTGTCAAGATTTTGATAAGGTTGTACATGAAAAACTTAAAAGGAATATTTTAATAAATACTAAAAAAAGATTAAAGAAGTTACTCGTATATTCCTTACTTTTCATCTTCTTCTTCCTGTCCTTCCATCTCTTTGTAAATCATAAATTCCCTATTTAATTTATATAGCTAGCAGGATGATATAGATAATTCTAATCCAATATTATTTCATCTAATTTTGAAGGCACTAATCAACATGATGTATAATATTCATTCATACCCATACTCTTACCAATTGTTGAGGGGACCATTCCAGACTTGAGTAAAGAAATTTTGGGCAGCTGCGTATGATGACGCTGCTCAGCTGCACCTGAAACTGCAACCCTTGACAAGCATTTATGAAATTTGGCAAATTTGTCAACTCTATCTCCCTCAAGTTTGAAAGCACAATTGTCTCACCGTTGTAGTTGGCATCATCTTCACCACTATGTCCAAAAATCACCTCCAATTGATCAGCCTCACTTATCAGCAAAGAGTTTAGTTGTGGAAGTATAATAGCCACGGACGTAGAGAAGAGTCTTTAGAGCTTGTTGAATCCCTCAACCTTCAACTCTCTTAGTTCTGAAAAGAAAACTTGTACATTGGACATGACCTGATGATCCTCATCTTCCGCAACTATTTCCTCCAATTGCTCACAATCAGATATGGTTAGGAAAGTCAATTTGGGAAGGCTGTTATGGACAATAGTGCTCATTGAGAATAAGAACTTCAACTTTTTATTGTGAATTACTTCTAAGGAATGAAGGTACTGGAATCTCAAAACTTGTGTGGGAACAAGACCACCAAACATTTGTTGCTCTGATCTCAACATTTCGAATAATTGGTTTCTTTTTGCTCATCATCATCACCAATGACTCGCCACTTGTGTTCAACTCTAGGACTTTGAATATCAATCTCTCACAGCATATAGAATAGAAAGCGGAGGATTATTGAGAGCCTCGTTATTATTTAATTGGTTGTATTTCAACTCATACTCCCTTACAAGTCTCTACATATAATAGAAAAGTGAAATGTTTTGGGGGGGGGGGAGATATTATAAGTTCCTTGGAAATATCATGAAGAGAAAGAGACCAAATTAACCAAAATACTAGATAAGAGACTTGAGATTGTAATACATTTAACATCTGTACCTGTTTTGTTATATCAAATGCTTCTTCATGTTTCGTTACATTACATGATTATGAACGATCAAACTGTAGAGAAATCGCATCATCTTTTGGCATTTTATTTAGTGAAGGAATACAAATAAACAAATGCAGTTCTCTAAGATGGTAGATTTAATTTGTATGCCGGAATATAAGATGTCTTAGTCACTTGTTTATTTATTCATACTTAAATCATGTTAATTAAACTGGAAATATGTAATGTTCTTATATCTATATTTATATCATATTTGTATTGGTAACACCAAATAGTCACCAGTTAATAAACCAAACAGGAAAGGAAAATAAAACATACGTGAAGGTAGACACATGTAAAGAACTACAGAGGAATATTGTATTAAATGCAGAATCATTTGTTTTCAAACTAGCTTTTGTATGTAGATATCTATGCATATGCATATGTGAAAGGAATAAATGTATTAAACCGAAGTTCACTAACTTAAATGAACAAACATTAAAACAAGCACTGAAGACCTTTTTTAAAAAAATAGAATCATTAAATACTTACCTAGCATATACTTAATAAACATTGTAAAGTAAGACATAAACAAGATTTGCAGTATGAAAAAGGAAGCATTGACAGACACAAATGCAGAATATATTACTTACCTCTTTAGTCCAATCGACAGTTTCAGTCATAATTGGCATAAGTCCTGGCAGTCATGAACAATAACCCCGCAAAATTCCCTCGTGTGAAACTTAAATCCCCGGCAGACATTCACAAGTCTTGGCAAGTAATTAAGTTTCATATTTTCCATGTTAGGGAACACAATCTCCCTTCCATTGCCAAAGTCATGATCTTGAATGTTTGAGCACTTGAAAATTTCTTCCATTTGAGAACAATCTGATATGGTTAGAGTGCTTAGCTGTGGCAACATTGAAGTAGTAGCCTTGATCGTGAAAGATAAGACGAATTTAAGCTTGCTGCAGTCAAAGATTTCCAACTTCTTCAATTTCTGCAGAGAAGATTCAGTGATGGATAGATAATTCTTTTCAGTCTCTTCATTCCCCCAAAAAATTGCCTCCGACTCCTCGCAACAAGATATGGTAATAGACATTAACTCTGGAAGACTTTGATGGGTATGAGCAGAAAAGACAAACTTCAGTCTTGCACAATTTTTTAAGATTAATTCTTTAAGGTATTGAAATGTTGGAATCGGTTCGCCAACTCCAGTATAGTAATGGGAAATGGATTCTACTCTACAATTATCAAGCTCAATCCTTTCCACAGCTGCCAATGGCTTGTATTTTTCATTCCTCAATTGATGACATTTAACTCCCTGCAATTCCTTCGTGAAAGAGGGGGAAAAGGGAAGAAAAGAAAATGAAAACTATTAACATATTTCCTGAAAAAAAACGATAAATCAGGATTAAATAAAATGCTATATGTACATGTATTTCTCGCATAGACTAGGTCTATCAATATTTTGGTAAATTAAACAAATAAAATCAGCCGTATTCATATGCAAGAAAATGCAGTTCACAATGAAGTCAAGGAAAAATTATGATGAGGCCCTGTGAGAGTCATTATTTATTGTGAGCTGTAGAAATGATAAATAAATTGAATGACCAAAATACAAAATAACAAAATGCAATTGCTGGGTTATCCATTAGTTGAAATATTTTGCAACAAGGTGGTGGTGAAGTATGACAACGAATTGTGGCACAAAAATAAGAACAAAGAATGTAAGGCAAGATAAAGCCCAACTTCTACTAAAAAAGTACGTTAGGGTTTTTTATATTAAAACTTTAGTATTTTTTTAACATTTTTTGAGAATTAAATTAAAGCATGGGAGAACAAATACGTACCATATTTGGACAATCCCTCCATGCTATTGTCTTTATAGATGGGCACCTTGGATGTTTCTTTGAGCAAATTCGAACAAGATTTGGAAGATCTTGTAATTGGAGATATTTTAAAAGAGGAAGCACTATCTGAGTCTCATCTTGATCATGCATGGGTTGTTCTTCACCATCTTCACCAAAGACAAATTTCATCTGAGGAGCACTTATGATGGATAGATGCTGCAATTGTACAAACCTCTGAGCTAAAAAGTCTAGGGAAAACAGATTCTAATTTGCAGCAATTCTCAACGTAACAGACAAAATTTCCAATTTTGGGAATCTTGAATTCTCCCATTCATCACCACCACAATCTCCTTCTAATACATGCTTCAGTTCACTACAACCATTTATTCGGATTTCCTCTAAGGATAATAGAGTGCATGCAGCAGAGACAGGGAAGAGAGTTGTCAACATCAAACAATCGCTAATGCTGAGAAACTTAAGATTGCCTAAGTTGCAATTAGCAGGGAATATGTTAAGCAACTGAGGGCATTTGAATAAAAATAAACTTTCTAGCTTTTCAAATAAGCTAAACGGAGAAGGACCACGACATAGTTGTTTAAGATTATCCATATATCTTAGCTCTAATTCTTCCAATCTGGGAACAACTGAGTCTTCATGAGGAGTAGTTTCGTCAGTAATGCATTCTATCTGTGAACACTTTTCAAGATAGAGTTTAGTTAACTCATTCATCCCACCTACAGCTTGGACGATATTGTTGCCTCCCTCGAGATTATAAAAATCAATTATAGTTGCTCTTCGTGCAAGATCCTTGATTATTGCACCTGACATAGAGATATTTAGATGACCCAAGCGTAAAGATCTTCTGCCTTCTTTTATTGGAAATAAGACACGCATGGAATGCTCCCCAATTTCTAAATCATACCTTCTCAATTTCTTCAAACTAGTAGGGCTCACAAGGTATTCATAGCAATTTTCATTTTTTGAGTGTCCATAATGTCTGGGCACATGCAACTCTTCTAAATGTGAGCACCTTCCCAATGCTTTATAACAACATTCATCTATTTCACATCTTGACAAATCTAACAACTTCAACCTATTTAATTTTTTCAATTCCGTTGGTCATTCTTTTAAATCTACTATCTCGCAAGTCAAGAATTTCAAGTCTTGTAAGGCTTACCACAAAAGAAATGTCTTGTAAATCCCAACATTGCAATCGCAAAGTTTGAAGATTAGACAAGTGTCCAATTGAATGAGGTTGCAGTCCAATGCTATCCCATTTTAACCATATGATGATCAAAACCTTGAGTCCTTTAGTGCCTTCAAATGACATGTGCGGTATATCCAAGGGTTCTCTTGAATCTATAGAAACTCAAGCTTTGGAGCATCCAATCGAAAAGGGAATTGGACTAATTCAGTGTTGTAATACCTTGAAGATACAGCATACCACTTCATCAATGATCAATTCATTTAATTCTTTTGTACAATTTACCATAATGGTATGATCTTCTTGAGATGCTTTTCACAAAGCAAAGTCACGAACCATATCATGCATTATCACATATTCTTGTGCATTTGTGTCAAACTTTGAAGAATGCATCAACAATGAGGAGTGAATGAGATAATTTATAGTTGCCCTAACTTGACTCCTTGCTGTTTTAAATGAGTCTGCATCTCTGCATAGGCCTAGCCCCACTCCATATCTGAAAAGATCCTCAACATCGATATTATGATCTTTAGGAAACATAGCACACATTAACAACAACAACAATTGGCTTGTGGGGTTGCTAAATAATCATAACTTAATTCAAGACAAGTAAAATAATCGCTTACTCCTTTATCCACATTGTTTGGCTTCGCGTTCCTGAATTGATACAACATCACCCTCATCTCATCAACTCCTTTTTCTTTCAAGCAAGTACCACAGCTACAATTACAATGGGTAGGCCCTTACATTCCATAGCAATTTTTCGTGCCATATCTTCTTTGGTAGCATCATTGACATTAGCATGAGTTTGAAACAAAGTCCAAGCTTCATCTTCCTTTAGCAAATCTAGTTGAAGCCGCTTTTGGCATTCCATCAAGGTACATGCATCTAGACGACGTGTGGTCAGGACAACTTTGCAATTTCTTTGATGATTTCCCCTAATGGGAATCCCTATGTCTTCAAGATTCAGCATAGCCCATACATCATCCAATATTATCAAAATTCGTTCTCCACTTTGTAATCTTAGTGATATTCTTTGTGCCCTTCCCACTTCAGATTCTTCCTCCAAGCTGAGCCCCAACTTATCAGCAATTTCACCTTGAATTTTTATTATATCTGGGCTTTGAGAAATGGTAGTGAGCACAACTCGATTAAAGAGCTGTGACTCTTGGGCTTTCTTTCCCACTTCTTTCACCAGGGTGGTTTTCCCTGACCCTCCCATGCTCCAAAGGCCAATCATGGAGCTACCATCATCTTGCAATGCTTTCCACAGCTGGTCAAAAGCCCTTTGTGTAGAGCTGAAGAACATAAAATCTTTAGAAGAGTGATACTCTATACCCAGAATAGTAAGGGGATGGGAAAATGGATCCAAGCGATCACTCTTTTTGTTTAGATCAATCATCGTCTGAGTTGTCTGAGCCAACTTTTTGCAGAGACAATGTGTCTTCCAAGTAGGACACCACCCTCGAAGGCAGCCATGGTTAGCCCTTAGTTCTTCCTCCAATTTCTCCAACTCTGCTATGAGGCTCTTCACGCCATTCTTCCACTTGTTAACCTGACCATCAATTCTCTCAGACCTATTGATGGCCTCTTGAACACGTTCCTGCACCCTCCCTTGTGTGAGTATCAGCTCCTCCTTTCCGATCTCAACGTTTCTGCTGATTTTGCCGACACAGAACAAATATTTCAGCTGCTGCAAAGTTGGATGCACCAAATATTGCAAAATTGGATCCACCAAACATTCAGCAACTGTCATTGCTACCTCTTCCATTAAATATTAATAGCGACCTGAAAAAAGAGCCATCCATCATCATCAAATGAGTAACTCAAAATTTCCATTTTGAAAAAATTGAAGCATCTTGCTTACTTAATCTTTCATGGAGGCATCATCAAGACGAAAAGAATGATTTTTTCTTAATCTATCAGAGTAAATTAAGAAAGATCAAATATTTTGTTCAGCTTTCTTGCTCTGATATCAGGGTTTTTTGGCCCCTGCTATGTTCAAATATTGGAGTAACAAAATTCAATGTTCTATGGTTCTAATTTTTTTCCCCCAGGAGATCGATGCCAAGCTGAAAGAAATAAGAAAAAAAATGTAGTCTGCAAATGACAGCAGCAGTTATCAGCAACTAACAAGCTATCCATGCTTTGAGAATTGAGAGATATCACAGATAGATGCTTGTGTATGGAAAAACATATGGAAAGACACATCTGGAAGAATGAGAGTGTGAATCAGGAGAAGGACATTGCTTCATACCAGCGATGAACTTGCACTTTCAGTAGTGTGGAATCAGTGATCAACTATGGAACTCGGCAAGTGGGACTGACAGTATGTAGTTGTAGTTGTCCGTTTTCCATTTCTTCGGACCACAAAGACACCGTACATATTCCAAAATTCTAAGGTTAAGAAATTATTTCCATCTGACTTAAAAAATATCCAACTTAGCCTTCGTATTATTATTTGTGAAAGTGAGATTATTATAGTGCACTCGGTCCCTCTGATAAAAGCAATCAAAATGGAGAAAGATGTATAAAAATGAAGATTATTATAGTAGAAAATTCATTACATATTTTAACACTATTTCCATGTATTATTCATACTTTCTTTAACAAAAGTTATAAAAGTGTCAAAAAATAATGGAAAAACATACTCTCTCTGGTCCATATTATAAGAAGTCTTATAGATCCAATTTTTGATCCATTTTATAAGACCTTTTTGATGATTTCAATGACCATTAAATATTTTCCCCCATAAATGCCTATATTTAATAAGTATAGTGAAATAAAGCAAAAATCAATATGATGTCAAAAATTTAGTGTGGTTAATAAGGATAATATTAGAAATTATTTCAATTTCATGACAAATTTAATATTTTTAACTATTTTTATTGATATGCTTGAATTAGTTAGTAATGTTTTATTTATGGACCAAAATGAGTACTTTAATAAAATAATATATACAAGATACTTTAAATAATTCTACAAAGAAGTAGACGGACGTACTTCCTTAAGGAGGTGGGACTATTTCAATGGAGGGTTTTCAGGGATTTTCATAACTTTTTTTCGCATTTTATTTTTTTTTTTTTTGGCCAAAGCTTGATAAATTAAAATTTAAAAAATTAAATTTTTTGAAGTTATCTTCTATAAAATGAATTGTCACTTTACAACAAGTTTACATTTCGTTTATCTATCAGTATTCATTTTTCTAATTTTGCATATAGTTTACAAGGAGAGGAGATTTCATATTCAAATTTTGCATATAGTAGCACATGATATGTGACCTAGCCTATTTATTATTTTAAAAATTAAAATTTTAGCCTTCTGATCCAGCCTACTTTGTCATTTGATTGTTTGTGTGGCCCATTATCCCATGTTGGTGACTTGGTATGCTAGTTTTTCATCTAAGCATTATTGAGCTTTGCCCCATACTTTTATGAAGAAACGCATTCTTCAAAACTCTCAAAATCATTATATATTCTCTTATATTGATTGGTGGAGACGCCTTAAGTGAATTAATTTTAAATAGATTGAATCAAGCATATTTGTTTTTGTTTGAAATCATTTAAGTGTTACCTCAGTTCTAAGAATTTATATAAACTTTCTTTGAAATAAAGTAGGTTGAAAAATTACATGGAAGTCCTAATTATAAATTTTAGTTACCAATAAATCTTATCTTCTGCAATTGTCACAAGATGGCAATGCACATTGATATGTACATGAAACTTAGGAGTAATCAAATTTTTTACCTGATGTCCGTTTAAAAGTTTTCCCAAAATGAATTTTTGGGGCAACTTTCCCAGAATGAAATTATATGAACCTTCCTTTGCATTTTATTCTTAAAATTCATTGTTTGTTAATTTTGAAAATGTACAAAAATCTCATTAAATGAAAACAGAATAGAGATTTGCTTAATTCTAGCAAAAAAAAAAAATTAGGAAAAGTTGGTATAATATTTTCTTTATTTTGAGCTGAGAAGATAACCAACCAGTAACGGATAGAATTTTCAATTCACTACAGCTTTGTATTAGAAGCTCCTCTGGGAGAGAGATGTCAAAATAAATCAATCGAGAATCTTAAGGTCACCTAAGTTGAAATTAGTGAGAAACTTACTCTTTCGAGATTTTGTTTCCTCCCTCAAAGCTTATAAATTGCAGTGTCTCTTTGTGCAAGATCCTTGATCATTGCACTCTACTTACACATATTTAATTAACCGATGACTCCACCATAGAGTTTGTGTCATGTGCATGGTCACATGTTCTTGTGCATGCGCGTTGATCTTTGGAGAATGCATCAACAACGAGATAATGTATTAGTAAAAGTATTAGAATCTAAACTTAGTTAATTATATTAACTAAACAACTCCATTTACAACTGTTCCCTTCGATTCTATTTATAAGTTTTAAATTTGGAAAGAAGTGTAGTCCATTTTATAAGCTTTAATTTGGACTTGTGTCAACATTTAATATTTTTCTTTTAATGTTATTCTTAATTATTTCTTTCTTGTCACATTCTCGCACATTCTATTTTATCATTTTTTTCATTTATTATAAGGGCATATTTGAAAATAAAAGTATATTTCTAACCTGGTTATTATTTTTAACTAATTTTGACTAATTGTTCGTATTCATGAATAAGTTATTTGAAGCTTATAATATAGACAAGAGAAAATATTATATTAAAATTTACAACTCCATTATTACATAATCTTCCATCCTTTCGAAATTGTTTAGTTATTTGCATCAAAACAACAAAAGTTCCTATAGAATAACTTCATTGCACATTTTCTACGGTTTTTCTCTACCACCTTTTAGGGGACTTTATGATGTCTTATTTACTTTTCTCATTAACACTTCCAGCAGCTTTCTCATACATGTCTAAATCATCTCAAATGATTTTTTTTTAAATCATTTTCTTTACAGTAGACGTCATTTCAACTCTTCCTGGTACATGTTAACTATGATTTTTTTTTTCTTATATATATAATAATCATATAACTATATCAATATCCTTGTCTTCGTCACCCCAACTTTATTGTTGCCCCTTTAAAGCTTAACAATCACTATTAGCATTACAAATCTTACAGCAATAGGGTTTTCAGGTAGTTTCGTAAATTTTTTTTTTTTTGTATTTTTACTCAATTTCTTTTTCTTACAATAACAGGATAAATTAAAATTTTTAAAAGATAATATTTTTGAAGTTATCTTCTATGGAATGAATCTGCACTTTACAAAAATTTCATAGGTCAGTAATCTATCACTCTTTTCTTGTTGGATTGATTAATCTTAAATAGAGTAATGGAAACAATAGTTTCGAGTCTTCTTTAATTTGTTCAGTTCTTCGTTTGTAAGGAGAGGATATTTCATATTCAAATTTTGTAAATCATGCATAATATTATGACACGGCCCACTTGTTATTTTTAAATATTAAAATTTCAGCTTTTTGACAGGTCGGCACTTGAGTCCATGTAATAGGCATGATTGCTGGTCGAAAAAAAAAATGTCATAGGCATGATAAAATAAAGAGTAATACTTCTGAGTTGGAAGAATTAGATTCCAGAATCGGATTTCCAAATCTTACCATAACATTCAACAGTAAAATATAATAACATTGTCTCATATCTTTAATATAAGAGTTAGTTGACCAATTTAAGTAGATTAAAAAAACTAGTTAAGTTAATTATTTATAATAAATAGATATTGTTTCTCTAAAATATCTTTTATAATCATGTATACTAGCTAGAACTATTATTTGATGAAATCTTTAACACATGCAACTGCTACAAAAACCTTCTTGAGAAATAAATAAATAAATATAAGAGACAAAATGAATTGGAATCTTATACTTAGGATCAAATTGAATGTTAAACTAACTGTTATATTAAAAATCTGAGACAGGAGCTAATATGGCCTATTATATAATGGTGTTAGGGGTCAATTTTTTTTTTCTTCCCCTTTTGACCCACAAGAAAAGATCACCTTCATTAACCAAAGAAAGCATCCAGAAAAGATTCACAACTCAGGCTATCAAACTCAAAACAGAAAACAAAGAAACACCTAAGGAGCTGGGAACACTACAACAAAATGTGTTATTTACCTCCCTCGTTTATGTCTGTTTTGCAAAACAGAAGAGACTTCATGTACCGCGTGCGAAGAACTCCAGACGTGAAGGGGCTTCATTTTTAAAAAAAATTTGCCCGCAGCAGCTCGCATCAGTTATCTATCAGATCTGCATGTACCGCGCGCGAAGAACTCCAGCTCGCAACTATCTCGCACCCAACTTTCATTTTCGGTCTCTCCCTCTCATTTTCCTCTTGTCCGTGAAGTAGCCGTGAGCTATTTCAACTTGTTTCGGTCTCTCCTTCTGGTTTCAGCTCTTCAAGGCCGTAGCCGGACTCCCTCCATTGCGTCGCGCATTTTGCAGTAGCCGTGTTGTAGCAGCTCGCCGTTGAAGCCGTGAAGCTCACACGCACAGCAGCTCACCGTCGTCGTCCTCTCTGTAGGCCGTTGATTCGAAGGCACGCCAGAACGGTGAAGGTAAGTTCATTCAACCGTTGCATTGTGGGTTTAGTGTGTTGTACGGTGGGTTTGAGTAGCTTGAGGAGTTTTGAATTGGTTTCTGAGGTTGCTGTTTAAATTTTTACTGAAGAATTGTGTTTAGATAGTTTTAAATTTGTATGTATTGATTGGGTAGAAATTTTAATGATTTCAAGCCTTGTTAATCTTGTTAGAAAAATAATGCATACAAGGTGTTTGTCAA